AGATTGCGAAACCAAAGAACCAGGTAGAGTTGCGTGTCGTCTCGGATTTTCAGATATGAACTGCGTGCCGTTTTGTACAGTTTTGTCTCAAATTGTTAAATGTGAGAATTTCATGTCAAGTTTTTGGTACATGAACAAAATACTTCACAACATGAACAACGACACAAAAAAAAGTTTCAATCTTTTTGGTTGTGTGCTTGATGACATTGCAATATCTCACAATCGGAAACACGTGAGAGCGTCTTCTTCTTTCTTTTGAGACCAAAATGTTTCTTAGAACGCCTACGTCAGACCTTAACAAGTAACAAAAATTATAAAAGAGACAAAGGTATAACCTAAGCTCGTCTTTCTGCGTTTTAAAGCTAATGCAATAAGCAGATGTTTGAGGGTTTTAAGACTTGTCATTTCAGATCAATGATGAAAACGGGTCGAATTGCAGTTTTGAAGTCCTCACAAAACCGTTTTTCCGAGAATCTGGTTGCTCGTTTTCTAGCGGATTCAGCCATCTTAAGCCTCTCGGTTTCATTCATCTTCACTATCTCAAGGATCGCTTCGGCGTATTCTTCCTTGGTTTCAGCAAGAAACCCGGTTTTTTGTCCGTCTTCTTCCAACACAATGTCCATTTTGGGTCCGGCTGAGTTGTGAGCTGCATGGCACAGATATAAAAACAGAGGAGCCATTCAGGAGAGAAACTTAAATTGTGAGATAGTGAAATCGTTATCTACAAGCCTTAAAATTCTGACCTATTGGGATCGCACCAGCAGCCATGTACTCAACAACGCTAATCCCAAAGTGTTCATCTATCATTCCATGCATTCCTGCAACTGCATTTCCTAGCAGTGCCACTAGTTCCCTGCAATCCGAAGCCATAAGATAAGAATCATGGAAGCTCTGAGTATTGTACGATGAAAGTTTGAATAGAGAATGCCATAAAGAGCTCTAGACAAACACCTGTACATGGCGTTTTTATAGAATTCCACGTCTCCTTCCACTTTTAGCTCAACTGCTCTGTCTTTCAATTTCTGCAGCCGTTCTTCGTCTGATTCGTTTCTACAACTTCCCACAAATTGGAGCTTAGGTCGAGGGAAGTTGGCACCTAACTTCTCTAAGGCTAGTGAAAAGGCCTCAAGCTGAAGCATATGAGCCTGGTACAAGACTGTAAATGAGTAAGCAGGACGACTCTTTTGTAACTCAAAATGTGAGCCATCAAAACGTATCTTATTCTCTCATAAGTCAAATACAAGGATCCCTCACCTTCTCAGGACGAAACTGAGCGACAGATATGAATACTGGTCGATCTGATGATCTTTTAAGAGGAAGTGCCTGCATTAAGCCAAAGGTATTAAACAAAAACCGAGATACAGATAAAAATCATAAAATTCCAGCTGTCTGTGATGGTTATCACCTGAAGTCCTGAAGTATCACAAGGCGGGTAAACCCGTCTAATCCGTTCTGGAATTCTCCAAAGCACTTCGATATGGGACTTTGTCCACGAAGAGTTGACCATAGCTAGATGAGTGCACGAACCAACCATCCCATACATCCAGCTAAAAGCTCTGTAGTAGACTAATTTGCCTCTAGATAACCAATTGCTACAACAACAAAAATATCAGCAAATATCACTAACCAATCAACAAAGAAAGTAATAAAAATTTAAGGTTTGAAAAACAAACCTCTTAGCAATTGAAGCATCATTGTTATACATTGAATTCCTTTGACGAACACGAGAAATCATATCCAAACTAATGGTTGGATAATGAGTATAACAAACAACTTTGCAACCAAAGATCCGTGCAAGAGGATACGTAAAAGCATATCCACTAGTGTCAAGGAAATACAAAGGAGTAAACTTTCGTAAAGCTTCCCAAGCTAGATATACAGAACCAAGACTCTGACCTATCATTGTGAAATGTGGATAAGTCCTTTCTTCAATCCATTTTCTTTTGTTAAGATGAATCACCTAAAAGACCAAAACGAAATTGCAAATCAAAAACTAACCCTAAAACCCCCAAATTCCAAAACTCCCCCAAAATCTGAGATTGATCGGACCTTAGGAGGAGATTGAAGATGGACACCGAATCGATCGATGGCGCGACGAGTTAAGGTATCGGAAGAAGAGTCATGATCTCCGGTGAAGATGATACAGTCGAGATCGGGGATTTCTTCTTGAATGGCTTTAACTGCGCACCAGAGGACTCTCTCGCCGCCACCACCGTCGTTTGTGTACGGATGGAAGAATCCCACCGCTCGTTTCCGGCTCCTTCTCGCATTGATCACGGAGAGAGATAAACTCAGAGATACGGCGAAGAAGAAAGTGAGGAGAGCATAGAGAATGAAGAAGCAGATCGCCATTGAAGCAGATCGTCGTCCTCTTTCTGAAGAAAGCGTTTTGGTTTCTTTTGGTTTCTGAATATTTGTAGAAAACAACCTATACTATGACGGAATAATAGTTATGCCCCCCTATGTTTTGATTAATTGAACTTTGGGCCTTAAACTTTTTTGGGGATAAGTAAAATTTAAGAATTTTTAATTTTCGACAAAGCAAAGATCCACGTATAGACGGGTTACGATAAACGGTTAGGAGTGTACCATTGACACACAGATTCAAAAACGGTTTTATCTATTCTATTAATCAACAATGATTCACATTTTTTATACCAATACTAATCAAAGTAGAGAGAAGGTGTACCGGACCATACATGCCTCCATCGTTTGGACCAAACAGAAGTTCTTATGGTAAATCTGGCGGAATATAAGAGCTAACTAATTAGTTTTTAGATAAAGTTATCTTTATTAATCGGCAAGAACCACATGACAGTTTGTTGTGGAGTCATTTGTGGAACCGTTTGATGTATTTCTAACTATCGCATGATATTAGATTCGCATATAGAATCATCATATGTAATCTTATTATATAAAACTTGATGCGTCAAACGTGATAATTAACAACATCGTGACACGTGTC